CAACTCTCCAAAAAACTAACCTAATGTGAAGCAGGCACGGCTTGATCTGGGGCTCGAGGGCTACGGGTTTCGGGTTAAGGCGTTAGGCGACAGCCCAAACCCTAAACCCTAAACCCTAGACCCTAAATCCTAAACCCTAAACTCTAACCCTAAACCCTCAACCCTCAACCCTCAACCCTCAACCCTAAACCCCAAACCCTACACCCTATACCCTACAAACCCTAAACCCTAAACCCTACAAACCCTGAATCCGCAGAGAGGTCGCGCTGCTTCGCCTGGCTGCAATGGGTGACGTCGCCGAGCTGGAGCAGGCAGCCAGGCAGGTTTTGGTTTTGCGGGTTTAGAGTTTAGGGTTATTGTATAGGGTTTAGGTTTCGGGTTTAGGGTTTGTGGTTTTGGGGTTTAGGGTTTAGGTTCAGGGGCGGTGTAGGCCCTAAACCCTGAGCCCACGAAGTCTGGCTGCGAGCCGAGCGCGAACTAGTCGTGAAGCAGCCTCACGACTATCAGCAGCCGTCAAGACATACCACTGCAAAGCCGCAAAGGCTGCAACCTTTTCCTTATAGAATCCTAGTCCTAGTTCCGCGTTCGTTCTTGAAGTCTGAACCTAAATCCTGACTCCAAAAAACCTAAATCCTGAGTCTCAGTTCTGAGTTCAGCCTATCCGGTAGTAGAGCACAGAACCTCGCTTGGCCAGGTGCTTGAAGAGGGAGAGGGGCCACAAGCTCAGTTTCTTTAGAGTAAGTTTTGGCGTTTTGGTTGTGTTGAGTCGTAGCTAAATGGTGTGGGGTTTACGGTTTGGCTTCGGAGTTTAGGGTTTAGGGTGGTTTGCAGTGTAAGGGGCGTTTAAGGAGATAGGGCTCACGCCTTCAGGGTATACACAATTGAATTGTGTAGGATTTAGGGTCAGTGGCCGTTGCTGCAGGAGATTCAGGCAGGTTCGAGTTCTGGGCCCCCTAAACCCTCCACATTTGCCCACCTCAACTCCAAACCTCGTACCCTAAAGCTCCCCCTGACCCCTGGATTCGCCAAGGCACCCGAGGCCCAAAACCCTAAAACCCTATCCTCCCAAACCCCTAACCCCCAAAACCCTGCTTTGTTGGTGCCACGTTCTGTTGGTGCTTTTGGGGTTTCGGGCTTCAGGATGAAGGGAAGGGGGGTTGAGGGTTGAGTGTTGCATGGTTGAGGGGTTCTTGGTGGGTTCTTGTTAGGGATGTAGGTCTTTGCTTTGGGCTCGTTTCGGGCCGCCTCATCTCAAAACCCCAAACCCTGAAACCCCAAACCCTAAGCCCTAAACCCCAAACCCTAAACTTTGAACCCCAAACTCCAAGCCCTCAGCCACCCCTGGAACCCAGGGTCAGCGTGAACGCAAGCAACTGCCGCGGCAAGACGCCTTTGCTGCACTTGGGCTGAATCGGAGGGGTCTTGTGTTTAGGGCTTAGGGCTTAATTAGGGGTGAAAAAGGGAAGCTAGACGCAAAAACAAGGGAATGAGGGCCTACCTTGGGTCCTAGTATGCCTAAACCCTAACCCCTAAACCCCAAATCCCATACCCTGACTCTCAGCGACTTCTTTTGTGGGTGGGAAGGAAGGAAAGCAGGCGGGATGCAGAACAGGCCTGAGGTTTGCAATGATGTGGTGGCAAGGCTCCAGCTCGCCTGCGAATGCTACTTCCGGGTTCTTGGTTTCAGGTTTTTTGTTCAAATGCTTTCTTTGGTTTTCCACTCTTGGGTTCGCAGAAGACACTTAGAGAATTAGGTGCCTCTTAACTCAGACTGTAGGGCTTTGGGTGGGCATTTTGTTTGAAGACTAGAGTTTAGAAACTAGGGCTTAGAGATTCGGGTTTCTAGAGTTTATCTGAACGGGCACCCTTTTTCATTCCTAGCTTACTCTTGGGTCAAGCAAACCCGGGTCTTCCAATCAGCCCCGTGGAGCAAGGTACGCGGCAGCCTATGGCCAGAACGAGGCGAGGAAAAGCTAGCGACTCCAATGTTGAGGGTTGTCGGGTTCAGGGTTTCGCGGTTTCGGGGTGTTGGCATTCGGGGTTTAGAGTCTCCAAGAAGATGCCGCAGGGGTAGGGCGTGCAGTGGGGGTAGAACCGCGCGGATCCTGGGCTTCAGATTATGATTAAGTGGACGGAGTTGGAGAGCTTAGGGTGACTTTGGCTAATCGCAACGAACGAGGCCCGAAGCCCTAACCCCTTGAACCCTTAGCCCATGGACCCCAAACCATGATACCCTAAACGCTAAATCCTAGACCCCAAACCACCTCCGCCCCATCTGAACTACCCCTCCCAAAGTAAGGTCCCCTAAGCCCTAAACCCCAACCCTAAACTCTAAACCCTAAACCCTAACCCCTAAACCCCAAACCTCAACGCTTACTTAAGATTTTTTGTTCATTTTTTTGAAGCCTGCCCCGAGGCCTAGAACTCTAAGAGCCCAATGATAGGAGGTTTCAGGGTTAAGTAAAACTTCAAGACACCTGGGTTGGGGTTAGGAGTTTCTCTCGAGCCCTCCCCCAAGAAGTGGCTGATTATCTGCCCTTTTCCTGCGGTTTCTCTTATAGTTTCAAACCTCCCAATTGTTGAGAACACCCCTTTGAAAACCTGAAGCGGGGCTTGGACACAGCGTGAAGCAAGCTCTGTTCAACTCAAGAAGAAACCCTTGTCATACCCTCCCATAATTTAGACAACCTCTGTGAGAGTATATTTGCGTTCTCAACAAGGCTAAACATATCAGACAGGCGCCCAGAAGAAGTCCTTCCTGAACCTTGCACCCCAAACCCCAAACCCGAAACCCTGAAACGTAAACCTGAAACCGAAAACCTACAAAACCCAGAACCCGAAGGCCATCTCCTCGCTCTTAATCCACGGCGCGGACGCGGGCACGACCGATCATTTCGGCCGAGGGGCACTGCACCTGGCCGCAGCGAGGCAAGCTTCAAATGTTTGTTTTTTTTTTTCTCCTCCAGAGGCTTTGAGGTTCAGGATGTAGGGCATCTTTAAAACACTTTCTTGTGCAGGGTTCTGTGCGAATACGGGCCCAAGTGATAACTACTGTGCCTTCAAATAACTACTGTCCCTTGCAATCGTGTCCCCCTGGCACTTTGCAAATACGAGCCATGAATCCACCTCCTCCGTTACAGTGAACCAGGCAACTCTGCGCCACGTTACTCGAAATTCCCTGTCAGTGGTCGTGCTTTCCTGACCCGAAGTTTCTTGCCCCTACCCTCACTGCAGAGCTTTGTCGTTGGGGCCCCCCCAGCCCCCCCTGAGCTGATGCAGCAGCAGTGAGTTCTAGTCGTTGTTGCTTTTTGACCCCAAGTTGGAGCTCATGTTTTGGGGGTCCTGGGGGTTGCCCTGTTTGGGGTTCAATCTGTCGAACTAACCACCTACCTCTCAACCCCAGACGAACCCAAAGTGCCCGACCCCCTCAGCCCTAACCCCTCACTCTGAAACCTCTAAGCCCTAAACCCGAAATTGAGGGTGTCAGATTTGGGGCCCGTTGAGCAGGGTTTAGGGTTCAATTGCTCGGGAGGCCTGGTGTGAGCGATGCAGAGCAGGCCGGGAAACTTCTGTCGTCAGGAGTTTTGGACTTAGGGTTTCGGAGTCTAGGGTTAGGGTTTAGAGTGTAGGGTTCAGGGTCTAAGGTTAGGGGTTTAAGGTTGCAGCAGGGGTTGCTTAGCCTGAAGCCGGAACCCCAAACGGCTCACGTTAGCAGCACCTGAAGTTGTTGTCGCAGGATCACAGCCCCATTCCCGAAACCCAAAGCTCTTAACACCTGAGTCCTAAACTCCTCCAAACTCCTAAACTCCCAAACCCTAAACTCCTAAACTCCTAAGCCCGAAGCCCGAAACTCCTAAACTCTAAACACCCTCAAACCCCCTGAAACCCCCTTAAACCCCCTTAAACCCCCTTAAACCCCCTTAAACCCCCTGAAGCCCGCAACCCCCCTCAAACCTGCGACTGCCGCAGGCAAAGCTGGTGAAGCGACTTCTCAAGGCCGGCGCTAGCGCCCAGCTGGCGGCGCGCTGAGCAAAACCCGGCCGTGGTCATCTGTGTTAAGGGGTTTAGGTTGGGAGGTTTCCCCCCTATACTAACCGCTCCTTATTAGGGTGATAGCACCCCCGATTAGAATCCCCGTTAAGGACTGGTAGTATTAGGGGGAACATCAACGTCCCAACGTCTAGGTGTTTAGGGTGGCGTAGGGTTTGGGGGTTTAGGGTTTTAGGGTTTAGGGGTATTCAGGGTTTACGGTTCAGGGCTTCTGGGTTTCATGGTTTGTTTAATTATGCTTTGGGCTTTCGATTTGCAGCACGCACGCACGCGCGCCTACAGGTTTACTATAGGGGTCGGAATAATTACTAAGAGGATTCCCTCAGGGTCCCTGTACAAATAAGCTACAATAACCCGCAAAACCTATTCTCATTCTTAAGGCCCCTAAAGTATCGAGCTTCGTGAGTTCTTTTCTCACCGTTACATGAAGTTACACTCTGTTGCCCAGAGTCTGAGTCTGCTTCGTGAGTTTTGGGTTTAGGGTTTGGGTTTAGGGGCTCTAGGGCTTAGGGGGCCTAGGGCTTAGAGCTTCGGCTTGCCAATCAGTCTTGAAGATTACAAACGTCGACAAGCATATTCGGTTCAGGAGGTATAGCAACGGGAAGTTCATAGTTTCGATAGTACAAAAGAATAGTGTCTTGAAGCAATAGCAATGAAAAAGACAGTTTTGAATTCAGCAACAACAGCATTCTCTTTCACTCAGAATCCTGGTTTCTTGTTGTCCTACCCATGATGATGGTGGCATCATGGAAGTAGATGTGAGAGTAGAGCAGTTTAACAACGCCGCTGCTCACTGCTCCAATGTCAAGAACTAGGGACATGTTACACACTCTTATTGAGTTCAAGAGGGCGAAATTATTCCGGGACATTTTCAAGGGGCTTAAGGGGCCAGCCCTCGAGCCTGAGCCGTAAGCCCTCTCGGCGTCTTCACGTGTGCCCGAGACTGGGCCATGGGAAGCGGCCGCAGCTGCTGCAAAGCGGAGCCGCCTGCAGAGGCCCAGGAGGTACCTGGGCACTACTTCGACCTGGGCGGAAGTAGGGTTCAAGGATGGGTGTAGGGTTGAGGGTTGAGGGCTGAGGGTTTAGCAATTGCACTGGAAAGTGCTGAGTTGTCGAGGTCTGCGCTGGCTTCCCTGTCCATCCACCAGATTGTCCCAAAGACGGCTCTTCCGCTGAAGCGCCGGATTTACCTAGAGACCTGAGCTCTGCGACCGAACAGGGTGGTGTCAGCTCTCTAGACCATGGCACATCAAGGGCCACGCTGTCCACGATTGCAAGGTATCGCCTGAACCACTTTCAGATCGAGGAAGAGTTGTTGCGAGGGATTCCGCTGCATATGTCATTGCGAGGTCTGGGAAAGTTGTGGCTCACTTCTCCGGTAGATCTCTCAGAGAGGGCGCGGGCACTCCTCTGGCACAGGTCCCGGCAAGTGAAGCAGCTCGACATCTTCTACTCCCACACCTGGCATACACCTGGCTGGCGCAAGGTCCTTGCACTGTGGGTGCAGCACGGGGCATGGAAGTTCTTACTCGGTTGGCTTCTGGGTGTGATACTGGGAGTTGCACTGGATGCAACGATGGAGATTCCCACGCTCGTCTTGCCCGGTCCGTCCATTTGGATTGGCGGCTTCCTGGGGTCGATGTTGGGATTGCTGACCTCGCCGTATACAGCAGCATGGGCAGCATGTAGGCGCAAAGCGGAAGAAATGTGCTTTTTGGATGTCGTGTGCATCAATCAGACAGACCCCGACACAATGCAGCGTGGAATTTACGGGCTGGGTGGTTTCTTGGCTGCATCCTCTGAGATGCACATTTTGTGGAGCGGGCCTTATTTTTCGAGGCTGTGGTGTGTGTTTGAGCTCGCCGCGTTTTTCAAAGCCAACCCATGCGGAAAGATTCTTCTCAAGCCATTGTTTGTTGAGAATGGTCTGCTCTTCGTTGTTTTTGCCATCTACATCTTGAGAGTCATTGATGAGTGGTTCGTGAACAACTTTCAAGAGCGGACTGTGGTTGCAATACTGGTGCAGGTGCTTGGCCTGATCCCAAGCTACATGTTGGTACACTTTCTACGTAGACTGCTGAATGAAAAACATCATCTCCTATACAGTCTGCGCAGCTTCGACCTCGCCAATGTCACTTGCCGCTGTGCGGCAGACAAGGAATGCATCGAACATGTCATTCGTACATGGTACGGAAGCCCGGCGTCCTTCATGCAACACGTGAGGGGCCCATTAGCTGACGAGCTCACGAAACCCTTTTCGAGAAACAACCTTCCAGGCAGCTTTTGGCTGATGATTGCCACACCTTTTGTATCCTTCAATATGGCTGGCTTCTGGGTCGAAAGACGGATGCCCACGTCCAGCACGGATGACGTGGCGAAGATGTTCCTGACCGTATGTATTGCCAACAGCGTCTTATGTGTTCACTATATCCAGCTGACGTACTTCATTTGCGATCGATTTGCTGCTCCTGCCGGCAGGTGTCTTGATTACGGCAAGACCCTCTTGATTTGGGTTTGCTTGAGTTTCGTCTTCCTGGGCATGTTCGGGCTTTCATCCTTCGTGCGCAGACAGGTGCTGGCAGCTTCTGTGATGTATGCTGTTGCCACAGTGGCCATGTCCTTCGTCATCACACACAACAGTTGGAGGAGGCGGTTTCGAGCAAGCCCCCCCGAGGAAGCAATTGAGATATAGTGATTTCCGTGGCGCAGCCACTCTGAGAGTGCTGCTCCCCCCCCCTAGCTCAGTTGACAGAAGCTTGTTTCAAAGATTTGTTCAGAGATTTTCCTCGGTCATAATCGCCAACCCACGCTCTTCCAGAACGCAGGCGAATTGCTTTGGAAGAGATTTTAAAGTTCCATGGGCCCGAGCTGTTCCGTTGCCCATGAGGATCCACGAGCATCACTCCTGTGGAGGTGCGAAGGGATCTTCAAAGTCCTCGTCCCAAAAGACACGAGGCTTCTTCGGCTCATTTGAAAAGCATGTGTCAGAGATTTTCAGAGATTCTCCGCAGAAAAACGGCAACCCAAGCTGTGCAGAACGTGAGTGCGGGCATTTGACCTGGAATAGACTTTTTAGTTCTACGGGCCCGAATTTTTATGTATGACCCCGGGTAGCCCGTCCTTCTGAAGCCCTCCAAACCACCCCAGTCCCAATCTTAAGAGGGAGTATTGAGGCTTCCTGCGCTCATGCGGCTCTAAGCATTGTCGGCCGGTCCCGTCAACTGCAGGTGGTGCTTGTGACCATACCATGATTGCCCAAAACCTCGTGTGATTCAAGTAGTGCTATTGCAGAAACTCCTGCCGACAGGGGTCAATTTCCTGGGTTCTCACCATGTTGAGACAATGGCGGGATGGTGCCCCAAACAGCAAAAGAATGACCCAGACCCAGATTCCGTTCGCGAGGGGCGAGTATTGTGGCTGTTGGTTATGAGGTCGACACGAACAACGACTCAGCCCTGACGTACGCAGAGCGGTCAGGGCAGAAGATGACGGCCACTTGGGCGCAGCGTTTGGGTCTAGGGTCGAGGGGTTAGCAGTATTTGGCCCTCAGCCGTTTAAGCCCGAAACCTGAAGCCCCTAAGTCAGATTCTCAAGGTCTCTATTTTGGGAGGTTTCACAGGCGCGCGATCCGGGAATTGGTTTCAGGACCTTTTAAAGGCTGTGGGCGTTTTAGGGTTTCAGGATTTGGAGATGTGGGTTTAAGGTTTTTGGGTTTAGGGCCACCCCAGTCAGTACCGAAATTCCTGAATCCGTCACTTCGGATGGTTGACCTCCATGCCCAGCATGCCAGCAACTTCCCGTTCAAGATTGGTTGACCCTGCCCGAGCACGCACGTGATTCAGGCCCAGACCCCAACCCTAAACCCCAAATCGCAAACCCTAAACCCTAAACCCTAAGCCTGGAACCCTAAACCCTAAACCCTAAACCCTAAACCCTAAACCCTAAACCCTAAACCCGAAACCCGAAACCCTAAACCCTAAGCCTGGAACCTTGAACCCTAAAACCCTAAACCCTTAAACCCCAAACCCTGAGCGGCGCCTGAGGCTTCCCTGCTGCGGGAGGCCGGCGCAGCAGCGCACGCGGGGGGACCCGAGGCCGTGACTTTCAGGGTTCAGGGTTTAAGGGTTTAGGGTTAAGGGTTAAGGGTTAAGGGTTGAGGGTTAAGGGTTAAGGGTTTAGGGTTTAGGGTACAGGGTTGAGGGTGTAGGGCTTGGGGGGTTTTCGGGGTGTTCAGGTTCTTTAGGGTTTAGGGCGCAAGGGGCTAGTCAGGGTTTATGGCTTTGGGGTTTTGGGGTGTAGGGGCTTGGGGTCTGTGGTTAAAACCCTAAAGCCCTAGAGCCACAAAAACCCTCAGCCCTGAAGCCCCAAACCCAGAACCCTAAAGCACCAGACCCAAAAAAAACAAAAATTGCCTAAACTCTAAGACCCCTAAACCCCAAATCCATACACCCCGAACAAATTGTGCTTTTTGGGCTTGGGAAAGGGTTTAGGGGCTTGGGCTCTCTAGGGTCCTTAAGCCCTGGCTGAACCCATGGGTTTTGGGTCTAGGGCTAGGGGAAAGGGTTTGGGGGCTTGAGCCCTCGGTTTTAGTGCTTAGAGTCCTTCTGCCCTGGCTGTCCCCATGGGTTTGGGTCTAGGTTGAGGGTTTAGGGTTTAGGGCTTAGTGTTTAGGGTTTAGGGTATCGGGTGTAGGGTTTAGGACCCCTGAACCGGAACTCGCCATTTGCAGCAGGTGCTGCTGCTGAAGAGCCGCGGCATCCAAGCGGAGGCGGCTCTGTGGGGAGGGGATGGGGCCTCAAAGACAAAACCCTAAACCCTAAACCCTAAACCCTAAACCCTAAACCTTATACCCTTAATCCTAAACTAACTGTACACCCTAAACCCTCATGCTACCCTGCTTGGGGCAGGCGCCTCCGGCAGCCGCCATCGACTGAGGATGGGCACCGAGGCGCCTGACGGCGTTCTGGGTTGAGGGGTTCAGGGTGTAGGGCTTAAGGTTTGCGGTCCCTGCAGGGTTCAGGGTTTAGAGTGTAGGGTTTCAGGGCCCAAATGTTTAAGGGTGCGCCTTCTACCGACGCAGGCAACTCTAGGCTTCAATTTGTTCAGGAACTTAACTTAGCATAGTAAGGGTACTGCACATATGTACACATAAGGAAATGAGATGCTGCTCTTACTAGGGTAAGCCCGTTTAAGGTCCTCACCACGAGGGGCGAAGCTCCCCGAAACTCAGACCTTAGAGCCCCCGACAGCCCCTTAAACCTCCCGAACCTCCCCCCCCTCTTCTTCATTCCCTCTACCTAAACCCTAAGCCCTCTCTTTCATATATATATATATATACATATATAGACACACACACACATTTTTACCGCTCATTATGGGACCTCTCTTCCTCCCCCCCATTCCAAAAGCTCCGAAACCGGACCCCCCGCCGCCCCCCCCCCCCCCCCCCCCCCCCCCCCCCCCCCTTGCTGAGGCCGCCCAAAGCCTCTTCAGGCCATCTGGATGCCAAAAACTACTAATGAGATGTTATTGAATTTATTTTTCCGACCCTTCTCCGTTCAACATCTATCTGATTGCAAAAGCGGTTTTGAGGTGAGTGGTGCGCAGCTCCTTAGGGTACAGGGCCTAGGGCTATGGATTGAGTGAACTTTATTACTTCGTTATGCTAATAATCATTATTAAAGATACACTGCATATAATGTTATGGGATTCTCTGCGTATTCTCCTGTTTCACAACCAACACTGCTTGACTAGTGAGTACCTGGACCTGAGATCCCCACGGCCCCCTCCCCCGCCCGAACCTCCTAAGCTTCCCGAACCTGTGATGTAGGGGCTTAGGGCTTAGGGTTGAGGGTTTGCTCGTGAATCCGTGCACTTCCGGGGCCCGAAGCCCCCAAACCTTCTTTTAGGGGGTTTAGGGGTTTAGGGTTTTATGGTTTTATGGTTTAGGCGTGTTTGGGTTTTCTGGTTTTAGGGTTTCAGGTTTTAGGGTGTTAGGGTTTAGGTTGGTTCAAGACTCATGTTCCACGTGATTGAGATCTCGGCCTACTTGATCCCAAGCACCCCCAAACCCTAAGCCCCAACGCCATGACTGTGGACTGTGGACGCTTACGCCCTGGAGGACATCGAGCCTAGCACACGGACCTGCTGAGCAGCTCTACCAGGAGGTCCATTGAAACGTTGAAGGTTTCGTGCTTTAGCTTCCCAAACCTGAAACCCCTGAAGACTAAACCCCTAAGCGCCTGAACCCCTAAACCCCTAATCCTAAACCCCTAAACCCTTTAACCCCCAAACTCCTAAAACCCTAAGCCCCGAACCCCCCAATCTCCAAAATCTCTAAACCCCTAATCTCCCAAACCACTACGCCGAAACCCTAAACCCCTAAGCCCCTAAACTCCGACTGCGGCCCTTTGAAGGATGACGTGGTGGGCATCCAGAACCAGCATGTTGGGCAGCCAGTGGGCCCGCGACTGACGGAGAGGCCGGGAAGAGGGATGTTTTAAGGGGCTTGGGGATTTGTGGGGCTTGCTTTAAAGTGGTTCTAGGATCTTTGGCTTGTTTCCAGGGATTCAGGGTCTAGGATGTTGGGTTCAAGTTTGCTTTTTGCAAGGTGCTCAGGGTTTGGCGATTTGGATCAAGGACTTTTTGAGAAACGGGTTTCCGGGCCCGAAGCCCTAACCCTAACCCGAAGCTCTTTCGGGTGTGGCAGCTTGCTGAGTTTATGTTTTCGGGCTTTGCCACTGCCACTACCACAGCGGGCACACCAAAAGTCATGAAGGCACATTCTGTTTAGGGCTTAGGTTTAGGGTTTGGGGCTTAGGGCTAGGGTTTAGGGTTTAGGGTATTGCGGGTTTAGGGGTGCTTGCTTCACAAAGGCCCACCCGACTCGATTACTTCGTGAGATTCCTGCTGACCCCCTCCGGAAAGGTCGGCATTTTAGGTTTAGGGTTTGTAGGGCTTATAGGGTTTGAAGGCTTCACAGGGTTCATAGCTTATGGGCGGTTTATAAGGTTTATGGGGCTTAGAGAGTTTAGGATCTGGGGGATTCTGCGTGCGTGAGGCGCAGAGCACGTCCTCATGGGAATGGGATGGCCTGCCTGACGTGCTGGAGGCCTAACAAGACATACAGAGTCCCCCAACATAGGCCCTATAATAACGCCCAAACCTTAAACCCGAGCTATCAATATCCGAACTGCTGAGCCCCTAAACCCCGGCTGGCCCACCAGCAGAGTTTGTGGGTGCCGAACAGTGGTGTTGATGTCAGTGAAGTCCTGCCCCTTAGCCCTAATTGGGTTTAGGGTTTCGGGTTTAGGGTTTAGGGTAAACCCTAAACCCTAACCCCCTTAACCCCCAAGCCGGAAATCCGTTAACCCCTACAAAATGGTAGGTTCTAACCCCTAAATTTCGGGTATCACCCCCCAACATAGTAGGTAGATGGAGCCAGGTCTACGGGCACGGGGGCTTAAGAGTTTGCAGGGTTGGGGGTCTAAACCCCAGACCCCAGACCTTTACGTTGAACCCGATGCCTGCATTGCTGACTAAACCCTAAACCCTGAAAGTCCCCATTCAGCTGCCAAGAGGCCACGCCCCCGCCGCCGCAGCGAAAGCATGTCCCGCCGCTGTTGAAACTGCTTCGGAGAAACGCGTGACTTTCTACCTTGGTTTCGGATCAGGGTTGGCGCTGTATCAGGC